CAATACTCTGAGACGGTTGATTGCATTTTTCAACGGGAAGCAGGAGCAAACCAAGTCAAAGACGCCGTGATAAGGATGTCAATATCGCTCACACGTGCGATAAGAGTGCAGAAAATAACTTGAGAAAATGAGAGTTTCAGGGCTTGTAATCTGGGCGGAGTTTTGACGAAGGGAAGCGCATCGCATTACATGGTACTGAAGAAATTGTGGGACATTTCATTACTGTGGACACGAACAGAGGCAGTGTTTGGAAGCTGTCCTTGTACATAATCTTTTCATACAATTATGATGATCGCAGTATTTGTATTATCTTGAGATGTTTTGTCGATTGGTGAGATTGTTTCTTCGCTTTCGAGGTGAGCATATCACGATGAATTTCCATTCTACAGCAATAAATTATCTGTGTTTTCGCCGTGTTGCTGTTGACATGAATCATGCATCAATCTGTAGGAGCGATCTAAAATATTGGCAATAAGACATTTCAGGGTAGTTCCAAAACGTGAGTAACGAAGATAAAGGCGGAATAAGCTGTGTATAGCGAAATGAGTCCATGTGCATATAAGGCAGTGCCTTCCAGGAAGTGAGGGCTGAAGATATTCAAGGGTTGCATAAGGTGAAGTAAACAGGACGAATTGGGGATGGTCATAAAGCCTACTCACAACATGGTGAAGTCGGCGTTATGCTTTTTTTCTAACCCTGGAGAGGTCAAGCGGTGGCCAGTTGGCGGTTGCATGGCCAACATGTACCTGATTCGTGGCGAAACTGGGTACGGCGACATTACACTACCTTCAAATATGAATAGAGTGGTTTGAAGCCGAGCCGGCGATCATAACTAGTCCGTTTGTCAAGACTTTGGAAAACACTAGTTCTTGTGGCTCAGTACACACCCCCTGAGCCTTTAGCTTCAGGAGTAAGTGAAAAAAAAAGAATTCGGGCATTTAGGTTCGTCATAGAGTAAACAAGAAATCTGGAACATCCTGTTCCCCATCTCTTCAGAAAGTGTTCCGCATAAACATTTAAGATACTACGAAGAGAAATGTCTGTACCAATGATTCAGTGTACTGGCAGTCCAATTATCAATCAAGTCTAACACAACGGGATATTTTCAAACAAGAAATGAGAAGAACTGCGCGTTGTCAGAGCAGAGAACGTCCAACGCTTCAAAAATGCGCGAAGTTTTTTTCTACACTATTCCATCCACTTTACATCTATTCTTGAATCACTTAACCATGTTCATCGCATAGCATCAATGTTGAAAGTAGGTAAAATGAAAAAATGCTGTAAAAATGAAGAATTGGCGACAACCTTCATTATGCTTTTGCGCGGGATGGTTCAAGTCCTACCAACGAACAGCTGCATCGAGGCTTTGAAACACACGTGAGAAACAGTGTACCACTTTTGCCGATTTCTCCGATGAGAAGAATGATGCCGCTATGACCCTAGGAATTATCGGAACTCTGAACTGCATTATTTTTTGATTTATTAATTTACTTGTCTGAAATCACAGTAACAAAAGCTACTTGGCTTACCATTGTGCACCATTATTATTGGCTTCCATAACGTAGCGCTCAGCAACAGAACACTTTCAAACATGAACTGAGAAAAGCTCTATCTCATGTTGGCAGAGCAGAGAACTAACAGTTACTCAG